CGGCCCCCAAAAAAAAAAAAAAAAAAACAGGAGAGCAGTATTGTATTGACTGACTGCCTTCTTGCGCCTATCAGAAACGCTGTAGGATGCGAATCACCACTTGGCGGCTGTCGACCGTCCCCGTCCACCTACCTCTCGACAACCCTTACATTACAAAAGACTCTCTTGCCCGAAGATCCACCTACCTCACTCGGTTTTTTTTTTTTTTTAACACGGCCCCCCGCCAGTGTTAGTGGTGTTGATCTCTTCTTTCTCACCTCTTCCACCCCACCGCCCTTCCCAAATAAATGCAAATGCTCATCAATCAGAGCGGAAGTGCGGCTAAATTCTGTTTGTATACATTGCTCAGTATAGCCCGACAATGATGGGCGTGGTGGAGAGGCCATTGGAAAAATCTATCTAACAATGGAATGACGGAATGTTCAGGGACGTTGGACTTTCGTTTTCCAGCAGGTGGTGGTCCCCACCAATTAGATGGAGCCTCCCTGGAAGTGCTAGTGGTGCCTGCTCTTACCAGCACCCCTAGCATCCGCTCGGGTTGTTTCCCAATTAAAAAAAAAAARAAAAAAAAAAAGAAAAAAAAAAAAGGAAAAAAAAAAGAAAAAAAAAAGACGGAAGTGTGGCTGACCACCTCCCTCCCTCCTTGTCGAAAGCCGCATTGGATTATAAAGGCGTGTTTTCAAAAAGAACAGAAGCTGTGGATTTTCCTTGCGGAATATATTTTAAGAAGGGACAGGGCCCTTTCCGAAAGGGTGAATGTATGGTCGTGTTTGCTTTCAACCAGCTTTTTCAAGAGGAAAACTTCCGCAAGGATTTGGTCAGGGATCTTGGGGGCGTGGCGGAAGCTTAGACCCGAAATGCTGAGTAACCCCCAAACTAAGGTGGAGGTGGGGAACCAGTGTCCTTTTGACAATATCTTAATTAGGGACGAAGACGGCCTACCGTTTGGCTCTAATCAGAAGACAGGTAACTTTGCGCGTTCGTGAATTGAGAAGGGGGTGTTTCTTGTTGAACACATATGGGATTGGCGGCAACAGACGTGGTCTTCAGTGGGGGACTTGAGAGGTAAATTGCCCAGGTTGCACAAAGTGGAAGAAAATTACGCGGCATTGGTAAAAGCCCTTCCTGCGGGCTGGGAGGAAGTTCTCAAAGAAACCACGGAACACAGCAAGGATACCTGGCTGCTGCACCCTGATTATCCAAGCCATGTTTTAAAAGTGTTGGGACCAGATTTGCCCCAGGGAGTGAGAGTGGAGAGAGAAGTGGGAAAGGGGTAGTAGGATCAAGGGAGGCGCTGAACTTACAAAGGCAGAAGAAGCTACAGTGGACACCGCTATTGAATGTTCTGAAGTGGGAAAGGGGTAGTGGGATCAAGGGAGGCGTTTGGAAGCACCAACATCTAAGAGCCAAAGGCACTATCCTGTTGGATGGCCTAGCAGACGATTTTGTATTTGTATTTGAACCACTCCAGTGTGGTTGGAAATTTTTCGCTGATAAAAAATCACCTTTGTTTTTTTATGCTCCCAAAGTTGGAGCTTCAGTGTGTAGACAGAAGAAGCAGCAGCCGCAGGATGTAGCATTACGAAGGTTTCACAAGAAGCAGGGATCCTCTAAGCCCGCTCCAGATTTCTCTATGATTTGGAAAAGGCTGAAGAGAGTTCCGTCTCAGAAACAAGCAAGTTTGATGTGGACGCTGTCCTTGGACGTTATCCCGTCCGCAGTATGGCTAAGTACGAGAGGTATGGATGTGACTCAGAGCTGCCGCCGATGTGGGTGGGGCTGGGAGAGTACTGAGCATCTTCTGTTACGCTGCCCTTTGGCGGAGGAAGTATGGAGATGGTGGAGACTACAGTGGGAAGAAGGGGGAGGTGACGAGTGGGAATGGACGGATGACTGGGTGCTGTTTGCAATCCTGCCCCCTAAAACAGCATGGGGTAGCCCGTGGTGTCATGCGGCTTTACTCTGCAGAGGTATACTTCTGGAGACTATCTGGAGGGCACGAAATGCTGCTGTGTTCCTAAATGAAAAGTGGTCCTTTCAGAAGCAAAGGGCCATGATTAAAGATTCGCTGAGAACGACGGTCATGTCAGAATGGACGAATTCAAAACAAAAGACTGGAGGTGGTAGCACGTGGTTCAGGAAAAAGTGGACGCTGAGGAATTTTTTAGCTTCTGCAAAGCCGGATGGCAGCTGTGGAGTAGCTCAGTGGCTTTATTAGCCTCGTAGGGAATCTGTGTGAGAGACCCGGTTCACGACCTCTCTGTGGATTATAGTTGCTCGCAAAAGTGACCGTGATAGGTCATGTAGGAGAATCTAATTTTTTGTGACTTGGAATGAGCTTCAGGGACTTTCAGCAATCCTGTGTATTGTTAGCGGTACTATCGGAAAATATCGGCTTGTTGCCTGCGGTTAGAGGAGAACTCTACTAATGGCAAGAATGCTGGTTGTGCCACAGGCAGCCCCGTGGAGGGATCGGTAAGGTGGATTTATTTAGGTCTCCACAGGATACTGGGACAGATTATGAGCCGGATCTTCTGAGGGCTCATTTTGCTTTGCTTTGTGCTTTAAAGTTTTATTTTTTGGAAAGTTACTTGGTTGGGACGCTGGACCCGGTTTCCGGCAGGTAGTAGGATGTTTTGGAATGGCGAG